TAGATACGTTTAACTTGTTCCAAATATATATATTATTTTGAAGATATGTGAAGTGTGTGCTGTTGATTTATTGCCAACAAGTCACAGACACCAACTGTAGAAGAATCCTAAGCCCAACAACAACATAGTATGTATTTATACTATTAAGCATAATAAATTTTACAAATGTAACAAATAAAAAGAAGTAATCAAAAGGTGTTGGAAATTAAGGAACAAAAATAGTAAAATTCAGAAACAGTAAAAATGAATTAATCAGATATTTTTCAATATATTTTATCTAATCTTAAAAACGTTGTGAATATCATAATACAAACCTTCAAGATTTGATTGAACAGTGGGGAGTCTCCAAATGTACAACAAATTAAAAAATATAAAATGTTTCTCTTAAATTGTGTAGGGTATGCATAAAAAATTTGGTCCATATCTTTGTTGAACTATATATTATACAAGTATATATTAACTGTTTTATATTTCTTTTTTTTTACTTTCTACAAGTAGATTCTGGTTAACATAAGAAAAACGAAAATTAAATCTATGGTATTTTCAACAGAAATTTTACAGAGCTTTTACTACTGTATAATACTCATAAAAACATAATTTATTCAGATTCATTTAAACTTTTCATCTGTCTCAGAATGGTACAGTAATTTTTTACTTAGATATGGTAAAGAACAATTTGTCAATTAAAAGTAATCAGAATGTAGATGGCACCCCAGAATTCTGTGAAATGTATACAAATCTAATCATTACAGAATTAATCAAATAAAAATTGTATATTCAACCTCCACTTTCTCCTGCAATTCTGGTACAACAGTTTCTTTCATTTTGTCCACGTATTCATTTAACTCTAACATTTCTTGAGTAGTTTGAGGCTTCCTCTTCACTCTTTCTTCAATTTTTTCATATTCTGCCTGAATTCTAAAGTAGAAGAAAAATTCTAACTTTATATTTGTTTATTCCATAATGTATATAGTGAAGCATACATTACACTTTTAGGTAAATTATAATCAAAGCAAACCATCTAAATGTTATATGACACACACATGATTAATCATTCTACATCATAATTTCCAGAGCAACAAACAATAGCGACTACAACTGGTATCTACATGAAAGGGTGGAAATGGAAAAAAGAAATGGAGTTTAGAAACAATTTTAAGCTTTGTTTCAGTAGTTGTATTGCAGTTTAGAAACAATTTTAAGCATTACTTCAGTAGCTGTACTGGAATTTAGAAAGAATTTTAAGCATTATTTCAGTAGCTGTACTGGAGCTTAGAAATAATCTCAAGCCTCTTTTCAACAGCTGTACTGGAGTTTAGAAACAAGCTTAGGCCTTGTTTCAGTAGCTGTATTGCAGTTTAGAAACAATTTTAAGCATTATTTCATCAGCTGTACTGGAGTTTAGAAACAATCTCAAGCCTGTTTTCATCAGCTACTGGAGTTTAGGTACAATATCAAGACTACTTTCCAATATTGTAGATGTAAGAAACTTAGATTTTTCCCCCTGGCTTTAAAATACTGTAAATTACTATTTATTAAAAGATTTAGATAAATAATGAAAACATAGTTGTCTATACTTTCAGGTAAAACTATACATGTTTTATACCTAAATAAAATAGGAACAAAGAAATTTATTTTCTGGTATAAAACTACTAGACTGTAAAGCCACTGCCTATAAAGTACCAGTAAAGTATAAAGATATAGATTACACGTTCAGAAAAATACAAGAGATACAGAACAAAATATAAGCTGCACAGTCTTTACCTACCTTAAATTTTCTTCTCTGTGAAGCTTATATAGCACCTCTGTCAATGTTTCTGCCCACTGTTCAGCTGCCAGTCTTAGACTTTCCTTCAAAACACCCAAGTCTACAAAAAAAATTAACAAGTTCTCCTTTTCACGAAGATCCTGGATTTCCTGTTTTACCTGCTGGAAGTACTCCACAAACTGAAATAAAAAGATGCTTTAGTTCAGCTTGTTAGAAATATATTACTATATATATGTAAATCCACACTTGATCCTCTTATCATAGCATAATAAATAAATATGAAAAGACATAAGGGATGTTATAATGTAATTTTTAACAACATACTTCACAAAAGTTTGTATCTACAGCTAAATGTTTCTAATTATTATTTGATTTTATGTTAGAACCTCACAACATACCAGTTCAGTTTGAAAATACAATATAATGATGTTTGTAATTTCAGATACGGTCATACTTCTTCCGACCAAATAAATGAAAATTAGTTTACTTGTTCCTAAAAAATAGAATTAAAATATGTAAATAAAATTAGATTGTTTTTTCTTAGAGGACAGGGTTAAAACATAAATAAAGCCTACTTTGTCAATGCTAACAGGTTACCATACAACGTTTACATAAATTTGATTTGTTGGTTTTTGGATAGAGAACTAAAAGTAGTTTCTTGGTTATAGGAGTATAAGACACATATGTAAGTATAAATATGTTTACATACATTTGGTTTGTTGGTTTTTGGGTATGAAACTAAAGATAGTTTATTGATTATCAGAGCATAAAACTAATGTATGAGCATGAAATGTTTACATACAGTTAGTTTGTTGATTTTTGGATAAAGAAATAAAGATAATCTATTGGTTCCAGGAATATATGAGTCATGTGTAAGTATCAAATGTTAAAGTTGGATTGTTACAGGAGTACAGGAATAACATGTATGATTGAGATAGCAATATAAATATTATATTATTGGATGCTGGAGTATTCATTCTGAAAATATTTTATGGAGGTGAAGTCATTTTTGTTTGGTACAAGACAAAAATATAAGAATAAATAGCAAATTATTAGTTCCAAGAGAATATTCAAAAAATAATAAAAATAAGATGTATGAATAATAGATAGACAGAAGGAAAATGTAATCCCAAACTGTTTATACAAATACTAGACAATGATTGTTGAAGGCGAAGAGTAAAATGTAATTATTTATTACAGGACTAAATGCCTGGTTCCAGTTTTACAGGTGTAAAATGCCTACATAAAGGCAAAATATTTGCAGTGGTGGGATTCAAATATTTTAACAACAGGTTCTCTCACTAGCAGCATGTAAAAATATTAGATATTAAAAAAAGGA